TAGTTCCAGCTACTTGGAAGGCTGAGGCGGAAAGATCGCCAGAGCCCAGCAGGTCAAGGCTGCGGTGGCCAGGAGCGGCCACTGCACTCCAGTCTGGGCGACAGAGTGAGACTCCAACTCGGAAAAAAAAAAAAGTTGCTGGCTTTTTTTATTGTTGCTGGGGGGTTTTTTTTGTTTGTTTTTTGTTTTTGAGTTGGCGTCTCACTCTGTTGCTTAGGCTGGAGGGCAGTGGCATGCTCATGGCTACCGCAGCCTCCACCTGCTAGGCTCAGGCGATCCTTCTGCCTCAGCCCTCCAAGTAGCTGGAACCACAGGCGCATACCACCATGCCTGGCTAATTTTTTTCTGATTTATTTTAGAAACAAGATCTCGCCATATTGCCCAGGCTGGTCTCGAACTCGTGGGCTCAGACAGTCTTGCCTCCACCTCGCAAAGTGCTGAGTTTACAGGAGTGAGCCACTGTGCCTGGCTTATTATGTTTTTAAGGCAAATTTCTATAAAGTTGCTTATAGCTTTCACTATTGTGGCATACTCTTTTTTTTTTTTTTTGAGTCGGAGTCTCACTGTGTCGCCCAGACTGGAGTGCAGTGGCCGCTCCCGGTCACCGCAGCCTCGATTTGCTAGGCTCCGGTGATCCCTCTGCCTCAGCCTTCCAAGTAGCTGGAACTACAGGCGTGCGCTACCACGCCTGGCTAAGCCACCGAGCCCAGCTTGTGGCATACTCTTAAATCCATCAAATAATTTAGTTACTGGGCTGCTGCATGTAGCCCATATGCTGTAGGGTCTGCACCACTAATTGTAGTCTTGTTTCCCTTTGTTTTCAAGTTATATGCCTATAATTTATGGTGTTGCCCTGGACCATTTGGAAAAGAAGGGTTTATAGTAGGCTGAGAGGAAGTATAAATGGGTATAGTTGAGCAAGAATAAGGAGGAAAAAATCTGAATGTGAGGGTCAAGTGAATATAAGCAGGAAAAATTCTTATAGGTTCTAGTCAGAGGAAACAAACATTTGAGTTATTATGACTGCCTAATTAATAAATTTCCTTTTTGACTTTAATTGAACCGCTCTTACTAAATGTCAAGTTTAACGTTTTGGATTCAAATGTACCTACTAAGTTGAATTCTAAACTTAATAGCTTGTACAGATGATTTTGTCATGCAGTGTTGACATCTCTGCCTCTTTTCCTCTGGGAATTGGCGCAGAGAGCTATGTGTTTATGTTTATTAGGCTTATTGGGGCAAGAAAAGGGTTTCACTAACCAGTATGCTAAAAATAAATTTAAGACAAGAAAAAACTTAACCACAGTAATACTAAAGCATTCAAATTAATTGAGAGTTTACTTTTTTATTCTTTTTTAAAATATTTTTTAATTGTGCAGAATAAGATTTTAGTAACTTGAGCACAAGCTTCTAACACCCTTTCTCCCAGATTTCTGCTAGAACGAACCACAAAGCATGTACTTGGGAGACAGGCCTGGAAGCTGGAACCCAGGAATGTGTATCTCTCAAATGCTAGCATTCCTATGGAGGAGACTCTAGGGTAGAGTATTAATTTTTTTTTCTTTTCTTTTCTTTTTTAATAGAGATGGGGGTCTCTGTTGCCTGGGCTAGTTTTAAACTCCTGGGCTCAAGTGATCCTCTTGCTTTCGCCTCCCAAATTACTGACATTATAGATGTGAGCCACCACACCCAACTGAGAGTTTACTTTCAAATTTTTATAAAGGTAGCCATCTAAACTTTTTTGTTAGGTATAAATATATTGCTTGAAATAGTAAATTTTTAATTTTCTTAACAAGTTTTTCTTGTGTTTCTCAAGCATGGGAGGTAAAGTACCACCTGCTACTCAGAAAACTAAATCAGAAGAAAATATCAAGGTAAGTTTTAATTTTAGTTGTTTGTTTAGTGATAAAGTATTGTAAGATTTCTTAGGGAGTGTTTTTTTAACTGCTGCTCTCCACTTAGCACTCTTGATTTCCCCAAGTTCACTTGGAATTAAGATCTTTTAAAATTTCTGTTTGTCTTTATAAAATTTCTGCTTGCAGACCAAATCTCTGAAATCTGATTTGAAACAGAAAATTTGGGGTTGAATGTTTACTGTGTTTTAGAATAAATATTACAGCTGGGCTCGGTGGCTCAGCCTGTAATCCCGCGCCTTTGGGAGGCTGAGGTGAGTGGATTGCCTGAGCCCGCGGGTTCGAGACCCGCCTGGGCAGCGAGACCTCATCTCTACAATAAATCAAAAAAATCAGCCGGACGTGGTAGCACATGCCTGTAATTCCGGCTACTTGGAAGGCTGAGGCGGAAGGGTTGCCGGAGCCCAGCAGGCGAGGCTGCAGTGGCCGGAAGCGGCCACTGCACTCCAGTCTGGGCAACCGAGTGAGACTCCAACTCAAAAAAAATAAATAAATAAAAATAAAAATAGAATAAATTTTACATGTGTATGATATGTATGGCCTATAACTGGTAAGCTCTGTGGATGGTGCCCATCTGTAGTCTTCATCACTGTCTTACTTACAATATAATATGTCTTATGCATTTTAGATACATTGGTAGTATTTACAAAGTAAATGAAGTACCCCACATCAATAATTTTCCGGTTTTTTTGGTCCTATTACTTGAGTGATATTTCTGAATGTGAATCATTTAGTATATTTGCTGAAAGGATATTTAAGATTAGGAGGTGGTTGCCAGTAGCTGAAATTTAGAGAAGGGGGGTAAATAAACTTTTAAGAATGCTTTCTTGAGAATTTTTTGTTTCTCATTTTCTGTCTTCTAAAAGGTTTTTTCACAAGTTTTCTTAAATTTAAGCTGTCTTAAATTGATCAGAAAATTTGCTGTTTTATTAAATAGAACTCTAAACATGGTTTATCTTTCTGAATATGAGAATAGAAGTTATGTGTATGAGCATGTGGAATGAGAAAAAGTTAAGGAAATGCCCAAAAAGTGATTATCCTTTTTTTTAGAGGAATTTATCAGAGTTTTTTATTTTGTTTTTAATAATTTATAAGAGTTTAGTATTTTCTGAACTCCAGATAGGATATTTTGACACTTGGTAAACATATATGAAGGCCAAGTTATGTTTAGCCTATGTCCTCACTACAAATTTTTTTTGTAATAAAAACATTTTAGCATTATAATTGATCTTTTCAGTATATTCTAGAGTATCTCGACTTTGCATGTTTGATAGTGACCCAACAAATGTTTTGTAATAAGGTGGGACTTTGATTCTAAATTTTATGAAACAAAGGAGAAAGCAATGAAAAAAACTGATTAATGAAGATATTAATACAGCTGAGTGAATAGATGAAAGAGTGCTGATAATGGTATATAATTTCCAAGACACACAGCATTGTTAGTGCAGAGTTGTCTCACACATACAGAAAATATCCTAGAATGGGATATACAAGAAACCACATTGGTTACTTAACAGGATACAAATGAAGTTTGCCTTCCATCATGTGTACTTTTAATACCTTCCGTTATTTTCATTGTATATTGCAGTTCCATAGACTTTTTGTTTATAATTCCAAAACTCAAAGATACTTGAAAACGTAAGATTTTTAGTAAATTAGGCAGTAAAACGTGAATGGACATGAGACTGCTTATGAATATTCAAACTTTAATAGTTTGCAACGGAAAATAGTAACGTGGGCCAGGCACATTGGTTCATGCCTATAATCCCACCACTTTGGGAGGCCGAGGTGAGAGGATTGCCTGAGCCCACAGGTTGTAGACAAGCCTGGGCAACTCAGCGAGACCTCATCTCTACAGTAAATCAAAAAGACCTGGGCGTGGTGGTGCGTGCCTATAGATACAGCTACTTGGAAGGCTGAGGCGAAAGAGTCACCTGAACCCAGCAGATAAGAGGTTACAGTGGCCATGAGCATGGCACTGCACTCCAGCCTGGGTGACAGAGTGAGACTCTAACTCAAAGAACAAACAAAAGAAAATAGTAATGGGGAGTTTGTGAATTGCTGTACCCAGTGAAGGTGTTAGGTAATATATGGTCTATGCATTGTATTAGCTATCTAAAATCCAAAAATTTTTAAGTTCTAAAACTCATTGCTCCAAAGGTTTGGATAAGAGACTAGATCTATAAGTCAAAAAAGAAGAAACAACCTAAAACTAGTATAATGAAACAAGGAAAGGAGCATTACGACTGAAATATAATGTGAACAGTTTTATATGTGAACAGCCGGGCTCGGTGGCTCAGCCTGTAATCCCGTGCCTTTGGGAGGCTGAGGTGAGTGGATTGCCTGAGCCTGTGGGTTTGAGACACGCCTGGGCAGGTGAGACCTCATCTCTACAATAAATCAAAAATTAGCCGGGTGTGGTAACGCACACCTGTAGTTCCAGCTACGTGGAAGGCTGAGGCGGAAGGATCGCCGGAACCCAGCAGGTCGAGGCTGCTGTGGCCAGGAGCGGCCACTGCACACTCCAGTCTGGGTGACAGAGTAAGACTCCAACTCAAAAACAAAATAAATATATATATGTGAACAGTTTATTGATCAATTTGTATAAAGTAGTGTAAATACTGGGTGTGTTGTTAAATACTGATAGCACTGTTTGCCTTCCTTTTGCTAGGAAGAAAAAACAGATAATAAGAAGATGGAGGAGGAAAACATAAAGACAGATGAACCATCAAGTGAGGAAAGTGATCTAGGTGAGAAGATGGTAGCTAGTTTGTATTTCATAATCTATGATATGATCCTATGTTGATTTTATTAAATTGGCTAAATTGGCACTGCCTAATACAAATAAAATAACACTTACATATGAAACTTAGAATTTTCTGGTAGCCACGTTTTAAACTGAAAATAAGCAAATGAAGTAAATTCAAATATAGTATGTAAGCCAATGATAATATTGGTTAAGATATTGAAATACATGTAATTGAAATGATAAAATTAATGTATTATTTTCCTTTTTTTCATAGTAGATCCAGAGTATATTTTACACATATATAGCACTCCTTGATTCAGATGTTATATTTTTATTGGATATAATTTAAACTTCATTACACTTGTATTTGGAAACATTGGGTCACAGCCCAGGTTATTCTAAACATACTTTAGAAGTTTTCCTCTGCCGGGCATGGTGGCTCATGCCTACAATCCCAGCACTTTTGAGAGGCTGAGGTGAGAGGATTGGCTGAGCCCACGGGTTTGAGATCAGACTGGGCAACTTGGTGAGACTTCAGCTCTATAATAAATCAAAAAATTAGCTGGGCATGGTGGTGTGTGCCTGTAGTTCCGGCTACTTGGAAGGTTGAGGCGAAGGATCACCTGAGCCCAAACAGGTCGAGGTTGCGGTGGCCTTGAGCATGCCACTGCACTCTAGCCTGGGTGATGAGTGAGACTCCAACTCAACAAAGAAAATGTTTTCCAGTAACTGAGTTGAGTAAAAAAAAAATTATTTTTCTTTTTTCTTTTCTTTTTTTTTGTGGGGGGGATTGTAGTCTCACTCTGTCGCCCAGGCTGGAGTGCAGTGGCATGCTTACGGCCTCCCCAGCATCGACCTACTGGGCTCCAGTGATCCCTCTGCCTCAGCCTTCCAAGTAACCAGAGCTACAGGCATGTGCTACCACACCCAGCTAATTTTTTTGATTTGTTGTAGAGATGAGGTCTTGCCAAATTGCCCAGACTGATCTCGAACCCGCAGGCTCAGGCAATCCATTTGCCTCAGCCTCCCAAAATGCTGGGATTACAGGCGGAGCCACTGAGCCCTGCTAAGTATTTTTCTTTAGTAGTTGCAATCATGTTGGTAAAACTAGTTCATATTAAGAAAAATTGTTATGTGTGTCTTAGGTCAATTTCCCCCCTCCAAGGCCACAAATTGATAGAATTTCTTCATGAACTTGGAAGTCTCTTGAGACTATAATTATACCTCAGTTACTAACTGGACAATCATCTCTTATGTCACAGAACCTAAAGAAAAGCACTTGAGGCCAGGCTCAGTGGCTTAACCTGTAATCCCAGCATTTAGGGAGGGCAAGGTGAGTGGATTGCCTGAGCCTGCCGGTTTGAGACCAGCCCGGGAAACTTGGTGAGACCTCATCTCTACAATAAAATAAAAAGTAGCCAGGTGTGGTAGCACGTGCCTGTAGTTCTGGCTACTTGGAAGGCTGAGGCGGAAGAGCCCAGAAAGTCGACACTGGGGTGGTCGTGAGCTTGCTTACCACTGCACTCCAGCCTGGGCAAAGGAATGAGACTTCAACTAAAAAAAGAAAAAAAAAATAACAAACTTGAAATTTTTCAAATTTTGAATCAGTTTTTCTTTTATGTTATTAGAAAGATCTTGTATTCTATTGGCAATTGTTTGGGTGCTTAATTGAAGTTGCTAAAATATCTTTACTGTTTCCCTTTATTTATTTATTTATTTTATTTTTTTATTTTTTATTTTTTGAGTTGGAGTCCCACTCGGTCGCCCAGACTGGAGTGCAGTGGCCGCTCCCGGCCACCGCAGCCTCGACCTGCTGGGCTCCGGCGATCCTTCCTCCTCAGCCTTCCGAGTAGCCAGAATTACAGACATGCGCTACCACGCCCGGCTGATTTTTTGATTTACTGTAGAGATGAGGTCTCGCTACCCAGGCGGGTCTCGAACCCGCAGGCTCAGGCAGTCCACTCACCTCAACCTCCCGAAGGTGCGGGATTACAGGCTGAGCCACCCAGCCCGGCTTGTTTTTTTATTTTTTGAGTCAGTTTTTTCACTTAGTTGCCCAGGCTAGAGTGTAGTGCACAGTCTCGGCCACCACGACATTTCCTGCTGGGTTCAGATGGTCCTTGCATTTCAGCCTTCCAAATAGCTGGAACATCAGGCGCGCATCACCACACCTGGCTCATTTTTTGATTTATTGTAGAAATGAGGACTTACCACGTTACCTGTGCTGGTCTCGAACTCTTGGGCTCAGGCAATCTTCTTGCCTCTCTGCCTCCCAAAGTGCTGGAATTACAGGTGTGAGCCATTAGACCTGGCCTAAAAAGTTTTTTTTTTTCTTTCTTTAGTGGGGGTCCCACTCTGTGCCCCAGGCTGGAGTACAGTCTGGAGTACAGTGGCACGGTCACAGCTCACTGCAGCCTTGAACTGCTGGGCTCAGTGATCCTTCCTCCTCAGCCTTTCAAGTAGCTGGAACCACAGGCACGCGCCACCATACCCGGCTTTTTGTAGAGACAAGGTCTCACCAGATGATCCTTTTGCCTCAGCCTCCTGAGTAGCTGGGTCTACAGGCACATGCCACTATGCCTGGCTAGTTTTTAAAAATTTTTTTGTAAAGATGAGGTCTCTCTATATTGCTCAGGCTGATCTGAACTTCTGGACTCAAGCAATTCTCCCGTCTCCTTCTCAGAGTACTAGGATTACAGGTGTAAGCCACTGTGCGTATGCTTTAAAAAAATTTTTTATACCAAGGGTGCTCAAAAAAAAGTATACACATTTTGAGACATGTTACCTATGTATTACGTTTAGTGCCATAATCAGAAGCGTCTAGATGCTGATGGTAATGACTTTGAGCACCTCTTGTAATTGTAGAAGTCAAATGTGGCTTGTGTTTCTCTCTTGTTATTATTATATGTTGAGTATTAAAATTTTAATACAGTTTTTTCCTTTCTTGAAATGTGTATACTGCCGGGCTCGGTGGCTCAGCCTGTAATCCCGCGCCTTTGGGAGGCTGAGGTGAGTGGATTGCCTGAGCCCACAGGTTTGAGACCCACTTGAGCAGCGAGACCTCATCTCTGCAATAAATCAAAAAATCAGCCGGCCGTGGTAGCGCATGCCTGTAATTCCGGCCACTTGGAAGGCTGAGGCAGAAGGATCGCCAGAACCCAGCAGGTCAAGGCTGCGGTGGCCAGGAGCGGCCACAGCACTCCAGTCTGGGCAACAGAGTGAGACTCCACCTCCAAAAAAAAATGTGTATTTTTTTATGACTCTTACTGCAGCAGACTCTGTTGAAGCAAATTATAGTTGCCATTTAATATTAAATATACAATTTTTATTGTTTTGGTTCTAAGTATAAGCCTTGAGACTCAATTCTGCATCTGTAGTAAGCCTTTATTTTAAAATACAAATTTGCCACCGGGCACAGTGGCTCATGCCTGTAATCCCAACACTTTGGGAGACCGAGATGGGAGGGATTACCTGAGCCTACGGTTTAGAGACCAGTCTGGGCAACTTGAAGAGACCGCATCTCTACAATAAATCAAAAAAGCAGGCATGGAATGCTTAGGCAGAAGGATCACCCGAGCCCAGCAGATCAAGGCTATGGCAACTGTGAGCATGCCACTGCACTCCAGCTTGGGCGACAGAATGGGACTCCAACTCAAAAAATACAAAATACAAATTTGTCCGTGCTACTTTATTCTTTCTTTCTTTCTTTTTTTTTTTTTTTGAGGCAGGGTCTCAACTTTGTCGCTTAGGCTGGAGTGCAGAGACACAATCACCGTTCACCACAGCCTTAAACTCCTGAACTCAGATGATCCATCTCAGTTCCCAAGTAGCTGGAACTATAGGCATGTGCCACCATGCCTGGCTGATTTTTTTTTTTTTGTAGAGACGAAGTCTCCCTATGATGTTTAGAAACTCATGGGCTAAAGCAGTTCTCCTGCCTCTGCCTCCCAAAGTGCTGGGATTACAGGTGTGAGCCACTATACCCAGCCCATGCTGCTTTTAAAGATGAAAATAATTGGGGGCTGGGCATGGTGGGTCATGCCTGTAATCCCACTGTGGCTCAAGTAGGAGGATCACTTAAGACTAGGCATTCAAGACCAGCAGCATGGGCAATATAGCGAGACCCCCATCTCTATAAAAAAAAAAATTAATTGAAAGAAGGAAGTATTTGCATACTTCATCAACAAAGGTACCTGCATAATCAACGTTTGTATACCTAACCCTGAATTGTACCCCACATCTTTAAAATAAAGGAAGTATTTTTTAAATATTTTTAACAACTTGGCAAGACTTCATCTCTACAATAAATCAAAAAATTAGCCGGGTGTGGTAGCATGCGCCTGTAGTTCCAGCTACTTGGAAGGCTGAGGCAGGAGGATCACCGGAGCCCAGCAGGTCGAGGCTGTGGTGGCCAGGAGCAGCCACTGCACTCCAGTCTGGGCCACAGAATGAGACTCCGACTCATAAAAATAAAATAAAATATGTTTTAAAAACACATAGTATATCAGTGTGTAGAATAAAATCATTTGAGTTGAATTAGTTTGTTAACAATTACTAGATCAGTGGTGTATTTATGTGTAATACAAGAAACCATGCACACACCAACATTCCTACCACAATCTGATGGTTTTCTTTTTTGAGTTGAAGCCTCTTGTCATCCAGGCTGGAGTGCAGTAGTGTGCTCACAGCCACCGCAGCCTAGACCTGCTGGGCTTAAGCAATCCTTCCGCCTCAGCCTTCAAAGTAGCTGGAACTACAGACACACGACACCACACCCAGCTAGTTTTTCTGTGATTTATTGTAGAGACAAGGTTACACCAAGTTGCCCAGACTGCTCTCGGACCCCTGGGCTCAGGCAATCCTTTTGCCTCATCCTTCCAAAGTGCTGGGATTATAGGCTGAGCCACCATACCCAGCCAATAAATTTCTTACATGATGTAACAGTTAAGCTGAAATGTAGTCTTACCAAACAAATCGTTTAATAGGGTAATATTTTATAATGCATCAGTATTTACATTAAAATTAATTAAAATACAATATTTAGTTCATTAGTTGTACTAGCTCTATCATTTTTTAATAATCTAGTGGTAGCCGGGCTCGGTGGCTCATCCTGTAATCCTAGCGCTTTGGGAGGCTGAGGTGAGTGGATTGCCTGAGCCCGCAGGTTCGAGACCTGCTTGGGCAACTTGGCGAGACCTCATCTCTACAATAAAATCAAAAATTAGCCACACGCCTGTAGTTGCAGCTACTTGAAAGGCTGAAGCGGAAGGATCGCCGGAGCCCAGCAGGTTGAGTCTGTGGTGGCCGGGAGCGGACACTACATTCCAGTCTGGGCGACAGAGTGAGACTCCAACTCAAGATAATAATAATAATAATAATAATCTAGTGGCTTTTATATTGTACAGTGTCATCATTATTGTCATTTTCTCAACTTTGGCAGAAATTGATAATGAAGGTGTGATTGAACCAGACACTGATGCTCCTCAAGAAATGGGAGATGAAAATGCAGAGGTAAGTTCAATGATTTTGTTTTCTGCTTGTGAAAGGAATATGAAGAGTCTTCCTATTGTTATGATTTTATTACATGGTTCTTCAGTAAAGCATATCGTAAAATCTTGGGTGGGCAAGGGGGATGGAGGGAGAGAAAAACACATATAGTAAAACCTTTCTCTGACATAAGGCATTTAAGATTTCATTTTATTTTACTACATATAGTGTGAAAATTCCCATGTTATTTTTAACCATTCACTTTAACAGTCTCTGAAATCCCTGTTGTTTCTGGTTTTTACCTGCTCTTTAAATTTGCATCTGGTTTGACTGTATATACTGCAAGTAAAATTCACCTAGGATATATATCTACAAGTGGATTTGTCTGTTAATGGAATATCGAGTGCCAAATTGTATTCCCAAATGGTTTTGTTATAATGGGCTGTCAAGGGAATGAAAATTGAGAGGGTGTCTTGAGAAAAAGAAAATTCTAGATATTACAGAGGTTAGTGGTCTTTCCGAGGGCCATAACACATTAATATATACACAGTGTATTTGTGATATTAACACTGGGTTGTGGGAATGAGGGAAAGTGTCTAAAAAGGTTTCTTGGTGTCTGTCTGATAATGAAACAAGGTTGAAAAACACTGTAGTCTAGTAATAGCAGTTTTAAAATATTGATTTATATCCTCAATACTTGATGTTAGATGTCATCTTTGCCAGTTTTGTGGGAAATTGTATGTCCTTGTGACTTTTACTTTGCATTTTCCTCTTTTCTGATAAGGTTGCACATACTATGTTTATTGGCCTTTCTTAGGCATTTGTGAAGTCCTACTTAGACCTTTTTTCCATTCTTCTATTGGGTCTTTTTCTTACTGATTTGTGTTTCAGTTTATTTATTCTGGTTACTAATTTGTTGCTAGTACTACATATATTTTCTGCTTTGGTTTGTCACTTTATGTTGTCTCAGAAAACAGTACCTTTTAATGCACTTAGATTATATTTTATGCTTTATTGCCTCAAGGATTTAATTGAATTAGTACATCATTTTTTTCCTTCTGAAAATTATATCAGCCGGGCTCGGTGACTCAGCCTGTAATCCTGCACCTTTGGGAGGCTGAGGTGAGTGGACTGCCTGAGCCCGCGGGTTCGAGACCCGCCTGGGCAGCAAGACCTCATCTCTACAATAAATAAAAAAATCAGCTGGGCGTGGTAGCGTGCGCCTGTAATTCCGGCTACTCGAAAGGCTGAGGCGAAAGGATTGCTGGAGCCCAGCAGGTGAGGCTGCGGTGGCCGGGAGCGGCCAGTGCACTCCAGTCTGGGCGACAGAGTGAGACTCCAACTGAAAAAAAAAAAAAAAAGAAAGAAAAAGAAAATTTATCATTTGCCTTTCACCTTTTTTTGGAGTTGGAGTCTTACTCTGTCGTTCGGACTAGAGTGCAGTGCCAATGTTCACGGCCACAGCAGCCTTGACCATCTGGTCTCAGGCAATTCTTTCACCTGTCTTCCAAGTGGCTGGAACTAAACGCATATGCCACCACACCTGGCTAATTTTTTTATTTGTAGAGATGAGATATTGCCAAAGTGCTGGGATTACAGGCATGAGCCACCGCTCCCATACTGCCTTTCACTTTTAATCTACCTGTCCAGTACCATTATTGAAGAATTCCTTTTCCCACCAATGCTAAAATATGAGGCGGACTAAAAGACCAATTATTTTTTGGAGTGTGGGTCCCTTGTAGTACAGATTTCTTCCACTAGGTAAGTGTTCTAGGAACCATTGGCATCGGTGTACCAGCTAGTCTTGTTATGAGAGGCTGCATTCAGCTTCAGTAAATTTTTTTCTTGGAGATTCTTTCAACACATATGCCCATTTCATGATGGGTGATTTACAAGCACACCTGCCCACACCCACTTAGCGTTCTGCAGCTTTTGACCAGAAGTGGCATGACACCTGTGCCCTACCCTCCCTATTCACCTGATCTCTCCCCAAGCAACTTTCTTCCCTGAATGAATAAAGTCCTCAAAGGGAAAGGTTTCACTGATGTGGAAGAGATGAAACAAATACAGCAGAAGCACTAACAGTCATCAAAATTGACAAGTTCAAAAACTTTTTTGAGCAATGGAAAAAGTGTCTCAATAGGTGTACTCTCAAGTGGAGAGTACTTTGAAGGTGACTGAAGTTTAAACATATAAACTGAAGTTTAAACATAAATACATAAACTACAGTTTAAACATATAATATTAGTTTTTATAAATAAATTCTGGTTATTTTGGGTTCCCCCCTCGAATATCGTTTCCATATGTGTGAGTCTGTTTGGGGACTCTCATGTTCTCCTTGTCTATTTTTTTTCTATGTACTAATGTCACATATTATATAGGTTTATACAAAGTCTTGTTATTTTGTAGGGCAAGGACTCCAAAACTTCAGGAGTATTTTGGCTGCTCTTGGCTTTTTGTTTTTTCATATAGATTTTAGATTCAGATTGTCAAGTCTCCCTCCCCAAAATTAGTTTTTTTCCCCCTTGTTAGAATTGCATTAAATCTAAAGCAGGTTAGGGAGAAGATACATCTCCTCACTGTTGAGATTAACTATCTATGAATATGATTAACCATCTAATTTTTGTCTTTTAGTAACTTCGTCACATTTTCCCCATAAGTGTTGTGCATCTTTGTCAAGAACAAATATAAAAATAAGTACTTTTTGTTATCATTTGTCAAAAGAATCTTTAAAAATTACATGTTCTGTTTATTAATAGTATTGCTTCTTTTCAATGTGTCTAGATTTATGATTTATAAATTTATTATGCTTGGGATTTATTGAGCATCTCAGATATTAAGTTTTTAACTTTCTTTAGCTTTGGAACATTTTGAACTGTTACTTTATTCATATATTGCCTCTTACCCATTCACTTTATTTCTGATTCTAGAGCCCTGGTTAGACATATGTTCAACTTTTTTTCTATTTAGTTTTATTTCTTTATGACTCTATGCTGAATTGTGCATGCTTTCTATGTCTAATCTGTTCCATTGATGTTTGAATTGGAATTTTTATGTGTTTCATTTTGATCCAGATTGCTTCCTTATCTTGCCTTCTCTACTACTTCTAAGTTGATTTTTCACTTTCTTCCTAGATAACAGAGGAGATGATGGATGAAGCAAATGAGAAGAAAGTGGCTGCCATTGAAGCTCTTAATGATGGTGAGTAATTTTTTAATCTTTGCTACATTTCTGTCATAGTCTAAATATTTTCCTATCTATTACAGTAATTTAAATAGCATGAAAATGGAAAGGAATTGACATTTGAGTATCTTATCTTGGAGAACATAGTGTCCTACTATCCTGCAACCGCTTCCTCATTGAGGAAGAGGCTGAAATCACTCACCTTCAATTACCATGCCTCTCCGTGACAAATCCTGATTTGATTCAAAACCTCTGCTTTTCTGGCTATATCATGATGTTTTTCCACTGATAAAAAACTTTTAAAAGGTTGAAAGGGTTTTGAGTCAGGGTCTCACTCTTGTCACCCTGGCTGCAGTGCAGTGTGGCATGATCATGGCCCATGGTAGCCTCCTGGGCTCAAGCCATCCTTTCACCTCAGTATACTGTGTAGCTGGGACTACATGCATGTACCACTATATCCAGCTAGTTTTTTAATTTTTTGCAGGGACAAGGTTTTGCTGTGTTCCTGGTTTGGTTCTCAAACCTGGACTCAGCCGGGCTCGGTGGCTCAGCCTGTAATCCCACGCTTTGGGAGGCTGAGGTGAGTAGATTGCCTGAGCCCGTGGGTTCAAGACCCGCCTGGGCAACTTGGTGAGCCCTCATCTCTACAATAAATCAAAAAGTCAGCCGGGCGTGGAAGCGCATGCCTGTAATTCCGGCTACTCGGAAAGCTGAGGCGGAAGGATTGCTGGAGCCCAGCAGGTCGAGGCTGCGGTGGCTGGGAGCGGCCACTGCACTCCAGTCTGGGTGACAGAGTGAGACTCCAACTCAAAAAAAAAAAAAAAAAAATACCGAACACAAGCAGTCTGCCTGTCTTGGCCTCCCAAAGTACTGGGATTGCAAAAGTAGGCTACCATTCCTGACCAGAAGCTTTTTTTTAAAGGTAGTATTAGAACAGTGCCCCTTAACTTTTTATGTAGAACACCCTTGACAAGTGATGTTCATGCATACCATTCTTGTTTTATTCCTTTCATGTTTCATCTTTTTCTAAAAACCGGAGTGAGAGAGTGCTGACAGTATTTAATACAATGTTCAGTCAGTTATAATTTATAAGAACAAATCATTTATAAACATGGGTACTGCTGGGCACAATGGCTCACACCTGTAATCCAAGCACTTTGGGAGGCAAAGGTGAGAGGATTGCTTGATTCCAGGGATTTGAGACCAGTGTGGGCAACATGGAGAGACCTTGTCTCTGCAATAAGTCAAATAATTAGCCAGGCGGGGTGGCACATGCCTGTAGTTCCAGCTGCTTGGAAGTTTGGGGCAGAAGGATCACCTGAGCCCAGCAGGTCAAGGCTGCAGTGGCTGGGAGCGTGCCACTGCATTCCAACCTGTGACAACAGAGTGAGACTCCAACTCAGGAACAAAAAAACCATGGTACTGTGGCTACCCTGAGTAACATTTTGTGCAAACCTCTTCATGACTCTTTCATAATATGTCGCAATGCCATTGTTGAATAAACGCTATCATATAATGCTCATGTGCATTTGGACTTCAGTAATAGATTTAGAAAATGACTAAAATTCTATTTTAGAATGCGTTCACTATTGTTGTTCCAAGTTGGCTTACATGTTCTTTTATTTTTCTATAACCACACCACTTAACTAGTTTTGGTCCTTATCACATGTTTATAGTATTTATACTGCAGTTACCTTATTAGATTGCCTAGCTGAAATAACTATTTCCTTTATTGCTTACTGTTCACTGTCCCTGGATTATTGTTACTTAGAACTGCTTTCTATTTATTGTTCTCTTGCCTGTAACTTTTGACTAAAGATCTCCATCAAAGGATTGTAGTCCTGCTAGAGTCAGAGCCCATATTTTACTTTCCCAGCCTTGATTTTTCCTTTTTGAATATTAAGCTTACATTCCAGTCACACCTCAGTGTCTTAGAATATTCCTTTACTTGTGCTTTACTTTTCCTCTGTAAAGCTCTTCTCCTCATATTTCACCTTTTCACTCATACCTATCAGTTGTTCCCAACCACTGGTCTTCCTGACTATTCCTTTTTTAGGATAACCTTTTCTTCATTTCTCTACCACCTGAGATTCCTATTTATCTAATATTTATTTAGTGGCCTTTTCATGCCTGTTTTTTTGTGAGGTTTTTTGTTTGTTTGTTTGTTTGAGTTGGAGGCTCACTCTCATCCAGGCTGGAGTGCTGTGGCACACTCAAGACCACCATAGCCTTGACCTGCTGGGCTCAGGTGATCCTTCCGCCTCAGCCTTCCAAGTAACTGGAATCACTGGCATGTAGGAGGGCAGACTCCTTGTAGTACAGTTCCCCCAATAGGTGAGTGTTCTAGAAACCCATCTTCATCAGTGTACCAGCTAACATTGTTTTGAGAGGCTGCATTTGGCTTCAGTGAATTTTTTTTGGTGATTCTTTCAGCATATTTGTCCATTTCATAATGGGTGATTTACGAGCACACCTGCCCATACCACACAGTGTTCAGCAGCTTTTGACCAAAAATGGTATGACTCCCATGCCCCATCCTCCCTATTCACCTGATCTTGCCTTAAGCTACTTTTTTTTGTTTCCTTGGGCGAAAAAAGTCCTCAAAGGGAAATGTTTTGCCGATGTGGAAGAGATGAAACAAATACAGGAGAAGCACTAAAAGGCATCAAAATTGACAAGCTCAAAAGATGTTCTGAGCAGTGGGAAAAGTTTGTGAGTTTTTTTTCCCCCAAGTTGGAGTCTTACTCTGTAGCCCAGGCTAGAGTGCAATGGCACACTCATGACCATCCCAGTGTCAATCTGCTGGGGTGGAGAGGATTGCCTTATCCCAGGGGCTCAAGACCAGTCTGGGCAACTTGGCAAGACCTTGTTGCTACAGTAGTTTAAAAAATTGGCTGGGCTCAGTGGCTTGGTCTGTAATCCCAACACTTTGGGAGGCCGAGGCAAGTGGATTGCCTGAGCCTGCAGGTTCAAGACCCACCCAGGCAACTTGGCGAGACTTCGTCTCTACAATAAACCAAAAAATTAGCTAGGTGTGATAGCGCATGCCTGTAGTTCTGGCTACTTGAAAGGCTGAGATGTAAGGATTGCTGGAGCCCAGCAGGTTGAGGCTGTGGTGGCCGGGAGTGTGCCACTGCACTCCAGTCTGGGCGACAGAGTGAGACTTCAACTCAAAAAAAAAAAATTAACTGAATGCACCTGTAGTTCAAGCTCCTTGGAAGGCTGAGGCAGAAGGACCACCTAAACCCAGCAGGTTGAGACTGTGGTAGCTGTGAGCATGCCACTTCAGCCTGGGTGAGAGAGTAAGAGTCTAATTCAAACATAAAAGACTTAATTGGATAAGAGATCAAAACTTTTCATTAATATTTTATCCTCTGAATATTTCTTGATAACTTTTCTTTCACTTTAGGTGAACTACAGAAAGCCATTGACTTATTCACGGATGCTATCAAGTTGAATCCTCGTTTGGCCATTCTGTATGCCAAAAGAGCCAGGTGAGAACTCTAAACAGAAAAGCATCCCCTGGTGAATAATTTTTGCTCGTTTGTTTAGATAGAATTGTGTGTGTGTTAATGCCTAAAGTTTATTGTCTGAAATGGGTTGGAGTCTCACTTTTTAATATCACACTTATTTTTTAGTGTCTTCATCAAATTACAGAAGCCAAATGCTGCCATCCGAGACTGTGACAGAGCCATTGAAATAAACCCTGATTCAGCTCAGCCTTACAAGTGGCGAGGGAAAGCACACAGGTAAATAATAATTTCTACAACTCCTGATGTTTAAAGTGCTTTGTTAAAAAAAATAGCACAAAATTTCCTAAAGACTTAATTTTCAAAGTAATATGTGCCTAGTATGAAGAAGTGAGAGAATATAGTCAGGAAGAAATAAGAAAATAAAAGTTCTTTTCACTCCCTTCATTCAAAGAAAACTACTGTTACCAGTTTTTGACCACATATGGCCAAATGTTAGGTAAGGATTTTTTTTTATGATTAATTCCATGTAAAGAGAGAATGGGCTGGGTGCTGTTGGCTCATGCCTATAATCTCAGCACTTTGAGAGACTGAGGTGAGAGGACTGCCTAAGCCCTCTGGTTCAAGACCAGCTTGAACAACTTGTCAAGACCTCATCTCTACAGTAAATCAAAAATTTAGCCAGGCATGGTGGGTGCGTGCCTGTAGTTCAGCTACTTGGAAGACTGAAGCGGAAGGATAGTCTGAACCCAGCAGGTTGAGGCTGTGGTGGCTGGAAGCATGCCACTGCCCTCCAGCCTGGATGACAGAGTGAGACTCCAACTCAAAAAAAAAAAGCCGGGCTTGGTGGCTCAGCCTGTAATCCCAGCACTTTGGGAGGCTGAGGTGAGTGGATTGCCTGAGCCCGCAGGTTCGAGACC